CGCATCGCTCCGCGGCTGCCCCCCTCCGCGGCGTGGGCTCGGCTGCCGGCCGGAGCTGCCTCCTCCCCCGCGCCGCCGCTTCCCCTGCCGCCGGCTCTGCAGCCTCCTCGGGGCGCGAAAGTTTCCAAAGTGCATGCAAGGGAGGGATCCGTCAGCGCTGCTGCCGTCGCTTTGCAAGCCGAGCCGAAGGAAGGGCACGGGGAGGGGGGGGCGAGAGCGCGCCCCCCCACTTTGCCCCAAGCCAAGTCCTCCCGCCGGTCCGCAGCCGCAACTCTTTCTCCCCCCCTCCCTTTCCCACGGACCCTGCTTTCCCCCGGGGTTGGCAGCCGCGCATGCGCGCAGGGAGGGCGCGCGGGGGACAGGGAGGGAGGGAGGCGGGGTCGTGCGTAACGCATGACGTCCCGGAACGCTCCGTGGTGACGCGGAGCACGTACGGAGCGTCGTCCTCCGCCCCCCCAGGCCCGCGCGGGTTATTTTGGAACGCCGGTCCGCCCCCGTTGCTAAGGGGTGGGGCGGGACGGGGAGGCGCGCTGATTGGACGAGGCGCGCAGGGGGAGGCCACGCCCCCTCTCTCCCCCGCCTCCTGGGCTTGCAACTTTCGGCATGAAAGGCAGTGGAAGGCGCGCGGAGTTAAAAATAAGACCCGGGCGGGCGGGGAAGAGAGGCTGCGGATGCACGCCCGAGCGATGCACGCCGTTCGCCCCCTGGCAGGGTCGGGGGAGGATTATGGGCCAATGCGGGGGAGGGAATGGCTCCTGCATACACTAGTTTGCTCTCTGGAGCCCCATCCCTTCCTGAGCCCAAGACCAAAATGCGTGAGCCGGAGGCTAAAAAACTGTGAGCTGGCTAACACTAACTCTGCTTAGAGGGGACACTGGCACGCGACTGCTCCCTCTAAGCTGTGGAGCCTTGTGAGCAAAAAACTCTACACCATTAAAGTGGTGAGCGAGGGATTCGGCCCGTGCATCAGTTGGCTCTGGAGCCATCCCTTCCTGAGCTAAAGAGAAAAATGTGTGAGCCGGAGGCTAAAAAAAACTGAGCTGGCTCACACGAACTCAGCTTCGAGGGAACACTGGGCGTGAGCTGCCCCTTCCTATGGTGGGGTATGGGGTAGCCTGCATGCCATAATAATTCTCTGCTGGGGGGGGGGGGGCAATATAGGGTTGTTACGCCCCTTA